CCCGCCGAGCGGGGGCGCCGCGCCGGGCCCTGCGGTAGAAGCCGCCCCCGCCCACAGCCGTGCCGTGCTCTCTCGAGGGCTCGCTCCGGGTGTGCGGTGACACCGTCCCCCCCCGTGCAGGTTCTATCTGATCGCTGGCGGGATCCCCCTCATCATCTGCGGGATCACAGCAGCCGTCAACATCCACAACTACCATGACAACAACCCCTAGTAAGTGTCCCTGCTCAACCATGCCTTCCTCCCCAAACGGGTGGCCTCCCTCTGCCGGGGCAGGGGAACTGGTGGCACCGGGAATCCAGGCAAGCTTGGGAAAGGCCGGTGAGCTTTTTCCCAAGAGCTATCCATATATAGGGAAAAGAAGCAGCCAGGCAGCCAGCACGCCTCTGCAGAGCCTGTGCCATCGGGGCAGGGGTGCTGAGCATCACAGTACCACGACACGTGGCTGCCGGCTGTGCAGGCACCCAGGTCTGCTCATCAAAGCCCCTTTCCTCCCGTACAGCTGCTGGCTGGTGTGGCGGCCCAGCCTGGGGGCTTTCTACGTCCCCGTGGCTTTCATCTTGCTTGTCACCTGGATTTACTTCCTCTGCGCTGGGCTCAGCCTCCAGTGCCGACCGTCACACCAGAAAGACGTCCCTGAGCCGCTGGAGCCACCGCCGCGGCTGGGGGGTGCAGGCGACCTCCTGACGGACTCTGGGTCCATCTCGGTCACGCTGAACTCAGGGCCGCCCTGCCCCGAGGCGGACGGCGTCTACTCTCTGCAGGTGCAATTCTGGGCGCTGGTGACCACCCACACCTTGTACATCGCCCTGTGGACATTTGGTGCCATGGCCGTGTCCCAGCGCTGGTACCTGAACATCATCTTCAGCTGCCTCTATGGCATCACCGCCGTGGCACTGGGACTCTTCATCTTCATCCACCACTGCGTCCGGCGCCAGGACGTCCTCAACTCCTGGTTCTCCTGCTGCCCCTCCTACAGGAACGCACTGCCCATGCAGGCGTACGTCCATCCCGGGCTGGCACCGGAGGACGGCTCGCAGGTCTTCATCGGCTGTGACCCGGAGGTGGCTCGCTCTGGCGCCTCCTCCTCCTCCTCGCCCAGCAGCGCCGGCTCGGCGGGAGGCCGCTGCAAGCTCACCAATCTGCAGGTAGCCCAGAGCCAGGCAGACGCCCGCCCGGCCGCCTGCCTGGAGCCCCCACCGATGGCAAGACCGCCAGCAGGCACGCCAGCAACCTCCACGGCCGCAGGAACCACCGGGGCAGAACTAAGCAGTGCCGGGACGGGAAGCACCACCGCTTGAAAATGCTGCGGGGCCCCTCCTCGGAGCATCCCTCCAGCGAGAGCGGGAGCCTCCACAACAGCCACTCCGAGAGCTACCACAGCGGCAGGAACAGCCCCGTCCTCAGCAGCCGTGCAGGGCCACGGGCCCCCCAGGACGGGGAAACAGCCCCCAGCCACTCGGAAGGCAGTGATGGCGGCCGGCGGGCGCCCGACTTCGCCGAGGCTCGCCGGAGGAGTGCCAGCAGGGACAACCTGCGGCAAGCCAACGCCGCCGAGAAGGAGGCAAAGCGCCGGTCCTACCCGCTCAACGTGGCCAGCCCTCAAGGGCAGTACGACATCAACCTGGCCAGCCACAAGCCTCAAGGGCAGCAAGTACAGTACAGCAAGTACGACATCAACCTGGCCAGTGCCGACAGCGTGGCTGGGATGAAGACCGGCCTCTGGAAGAGTGAAACCACCGTGTAAAGGTGGGGAAGGACCGGACAGCCGCAGCGCCGCAGCATTTTCCTCTGGGAGCCGCAGCTGGAGCTGCTCGGGGCGCCTGCGAGGAGGCGACGCTGCAGGAATCGCCACATGCACTAGTGGGGACAGACGGCGCGGCCGGGGGCTCTGGCTCACCCCGGGCGGAGGGCGATGCCGAGCCCGACCTGTCCCCCCGAGGAGGCTCAAAGCTTCCCGCAGTGGCGCTGGGGTCTCGAGGTGAAAGGCAATCCTTGCTCTTCAGCAGCCTGAATTGCAGCCGTACTTTAATCACTCCTGCATGTCACTTAAGACTGATCCTAAATGCTATTTTATAATATACAGAGGAAACAAATGTCTATTTTTCAAAGCTATATTATTGAATGTATATATGTATAGACAGATCAGTAAGTGATGCGAGTGTCTCGTTACCGACCAGTGTTCTCTGGGATCGGGCATGCCCCCGCGCGCTTTGGCAATAGCCCGCTCGTGCCGCGACTGCAATATTCCCGCCGAGGGGACCACACCGGGCACCCTTTATGTACAGGCACAGTAGCGCCGATGCCTGTGTGACATCAGCCTGAGCAAGCTGCTTTTGAGAGAGTCAGAGAGCAGCTTCTCCGTCTGAATGTTTTTACATGCAAAAGTTTTTATCCGTGTGTGTTAGACACCAGCGTTTAGCCCTGTGGGTTACGCGGCTGCCAAAGTAAAAGCCATATTGCAAAGCAAGCACAAGGTAAGAGGAGCCTCAGCTCCAAGGCGAGGCGATTGTCTGCACTGTTTTAATGCCAGACACTAAAATCACGGCCAGAAGAGGCTCCCAGGCCCTCGGAGGTGTAAGCTATGCAATGGGTTGGGCTGGCGGAGCCGTGCCGATGCCAGAGCCGAGACTGACCCTCTCTGCCAAAGCACCAAAGAGCCGAGCCGTGGGCAGAGACCCAAAGCAGGTCCTCAGCCTAACCCAGGGGTGCATGCTCAGAAAATACTTGGGTTTGCTCTTAGGAAGGCAGAGAAACCCCCCCCAGCTACCAGCCTCGCACTCGTGTAAGACAAGAGGAAAGCGCTGGGGAGCAGGGACCATTCCTGGGAAAGTGGGAGAATGATGCCAATTAATTAGGGACCTTCCTTGGACAGTTCACATGATGCATTCAAAGGGCTGGAACTTGGATAAGCACTTATTTTTTTTTCCCCATTTAAAAACAAGTCCCCCCTTTTTTCTAGCATGCAGATAAAAAAAACCCACCACACTGCAGGCAGCAGCAGGCTCTGGGAGCCTTCCCCTGCCAGGTCTTGAAGGTTTCCTACAACGAGAGGAGGTCGCTTACCCCACAGCTGGGCAAGGAGCACCCCAGCCCTGTGCTGGTACAGTTCAGTGCTACCTGCTGCCTGCCCCTGCCCACGCTGGGCCGGGGCTGTATTTCACCCCTCGTCCGGCATTGAGCCCAGCTGACGCCGACCGCAGCCGTAAGAGTGATGCAGAGGTGGGATGGGGGCCTGGTGCCTTCTCTGCCCTTTCCAGCCTCCCCCCCGCCTCAGTTTTCTCGTGTGTCCAAATGGGTTTCATTATTTAGCTACCTCCCAAGGGGTCGCGAGGACCGGGCAGGGGCCGGCGGGGAGGGGGAGCCACAAGGAAGAAGCACTCGGTGGCGGATTTGTCTCGGCGTCAGAAACCCTCGGGGAACCCTCACCCCGCGGGGCTGGGGCACCCCTGGGCTTAATGCGGTTCTCCCGCTCCCCGCCTGCCTCGACTTCTCTGCCCAACCGACGGCTTAAAGCACGTCTCATTACACCTGGTATTTAATAGAAATTAAATCCTTGTTGTCGATACCGCAGCCTGCACAGTCTTGCTGATGCTCAGTTGTTATATATGCTTGCTGCACTGTGACAGTATTATATAAAAAGCTTTGTATTGTTAATTACACTTTTTTTTTGGGTCTGTTTACATTACAAGCAAATGACATATCAACAGAGAGCTTCTTGCAATATAGGTGGGGGAGGGAGGGGAAAGTATGCCAAAGAAATGTCTTTAAAGGGGTCTTTTTGCATTTTTATATAAATAGAATGTTTCTAGCAGATATGTTTTGTTTAATATATTAAAGATTTTGCCAATCTGTCAACATCTACTGTTATTTCTCACAGACTTCGCGTTTTATTGAGTGAGCAGCACGCTGCCGCGAGCAGCCAGCAGCACTGTGCACACACCGTCCAAAGCTGCGCCTTTGCCACGGATTTCCAGCAGCTTCACATCCCTTATTCAACCAAGGATGGGGTAGTTTTCTCTCGGCAAGTCGAGGTTTCTCCTTGACCCTCACAAACCCATTCTGTCAAAGGAGGTGAAGCATGAGAAGGTGAAACCGTCCCCGGAAAAGCCGGAGCAGCGCTACGGAAAACCAGCGCCAGTGAAGGTGCTGGAGACCTTCCCCTGGGCGTCGCCCCCCGTTGTAAGTCCACGGGCTCACCAGACTCATTCGTGACGCCGCCCCGCAGGACTAGGACTCACCAAAACACCTTTTACCAGAGGCTGCAAGGAGAGAGAATCCAGAAACCGGTCCTGGCACCTGCGCTTGTATTTATTTCTATCAGAAATGTAACAGAACCCAAAGCAGTCACTCTATAAAAAGCCCCATTTTCATCCAGAACATGAAAGAGGACGTGGCCCACTCCTTCCCCGCGACCCCGCTCCCTTGGGCAACTGTCCCTGCAGTGTTCGATGGCTCCGTCACCGTCGGGTTTCATGCTTTTGGTCCCACAGTCCCTGCTGCCCCGGCGTCTCTGGCAGCACCATCCTCTGGACCACGCCGGCGACAACCATCTTCACGGCCAGGCCTTGGCCTTCCTGAAGGCCCGGATCTCCTCCGGGCCCCGCAGGTACTGCTCGATTTCGCTGTCGGAGATGGGCTCGTCGCCGGTGATGGCAGAGTCCGAAGCGCTCGGGGCTGCGGTCCGCAGTCTCTTCCTTGGATTGATAAGGCAGGGCGGCAGCAAGGGCCGCGGGCCGCCCTCATGCTGGCGTTTCCTTTCCGAGGGACAGCCCTCCTCCTGCGCTGCCCCTCCTGCCGCGGGAGGAGAGCCGGGGGAGCCCTCGCCCGGGGCCACGGCACGCTGCTCCTCCTCATCCTCCAGGCAGAAGGCATTTTTCAGCAGGAAAATTCGGTGTTGCAGCAAGTCCCCGATGTGCTTGACCACCGTTTTCTTGTCCATGTTAAACACCCTCAGCCAAGCGAGCTGGGAGGCCATTCTCAGGAGGATCTCGAGAAGCTCCTTCAGCCTCAGGTGCGCCGGCGGCGGCAGATCGACACCCGCCAGCTTGCAGAACCGCGCGAAAGTGCAGGTGAGGCGGGCGGCGGGCTGCAGCGACTGCCACGACAGGAAGGCCGCGGCCGTGACGATGGGAATGGGGTGACGGCCGGTGACCAGCCACGTCTCGCTGGCCAGCTCCACGATCTGCATTGTTCGGGCGACCATCTTCTCCTTGTCCTCCACAAACGGGGCAGGGACGTTGGCTGCGTGCTGGAACAGCTGAAAGCTGCAAGAGCAAAGAGCCCATCGTTAGCACCAGGACACAGGGAAGCCTCACCACGCAGCGCCTCAGTAATCCAGCTGAAGGCGGGAGCTGGCTGCAGTAAGGTCCTTTAGGACAAACGGGAAATTTTTCACGCTGAGGGTGGTGAAGCACTGGCACAGGTTGCCCAGAGAGGTGGTGGATGCCCCATCCCTGGAAACATTCCAGGTCAGGTTGGACGGGGCTCTGAGCAACCTGATCTAGTTGAAGATGTCCCTGCCCATGGCAGGGGGTTGGACTAGATGACCTTTAGAGTTCCCTTCCAACCCAAACTATTCTATGATTCTGTGATTCTATGAGCCCACCCTGCTCCTGCGATGGGCTGCTGCTCGTGTTACCTAGCTAAGTGCTGCACTGCCCACTCTCCAAACTGAGGAGAAAGGGGCAGGAAGAGAAGAATCACAGCCCAGGCTGTGACAAGGGAGGCAAAAAAGCCATCACAGTCTGTAAAAACCCCAGCACATACGTGGGCCATCGCCCCCGGCCCATCAGCAAACACCAGTCCTGCTCCTTCGGCTGCTCACGTCCACCTCGGGGCTACTCTGTTGTACTACGGTCGCTGGATGGAGCAAGAACACGATGAAGTTCGTCATTCGAGGGACAACAGAGTGCACTCCCAGATCACGAATTTCAGATGCTGCTGCACCAGTACTGCCACCCAACCCAGCGGGCTCTCCGTAAATGTGCCCCCCCTTAGCACGCAGGGCTGCGAACTGTCCGAGGGAATACTTTTCCAGTTGATCTGGTTTTGCCTTAGAGCACTCAGCAACAACGTGCCCGTGCAACAGCACAGGTCACCCTGTGTGTGCTTGTGGACTTCTGCCCTGGCCATGGCTGCGTTTCAGAAGCTTTTCCACCCACGGTGTCAAACGTGGGACTCTGAAATGGCTGAAAGGGGCCCCGTTACCTGTTCAGGTGCGTCTTCACCAGATCCCCCAGGCTCAGGGCCGGCACAGAGAGCCCGAGCTCCTTCTGAAGGCTCAGGTAGACACTGGCAAACAGCTCCTGCTTCACGTAAAGGAGGGAACAGATCGTCCCCATCGTCAGTGGCCAGTTGTGCTGTCGACAAGTGACAAAGATGCAGCAGCCCCCCAGGAGCTCCTTCTTCTCCAGACTGACCAGGTGGAAGGAGGGGTGCTGCAGAGCTCTCTGGAAGTACGACACTGCCGTTTCCTCGAACACCGTCGGGAGCTGGAGGACTTTACACAGGTCCTGGACCCGCCTGATCCCTGGGAGAAGACACCACCCTTAAAGATCAGCTCAAGCAGCTTCCGATACACACCTCTCCTCAATATTACACTGCAGCCAGCAACCACCCAGCCCCAGGCAAAGGCGCGAGAGCAGCCCAGTTCCTGCAGCCCTGCAGACAGCGTGAAAAGATCCCCCAAGCCCCTTGGTGCAGGTGAGGCAGTTTGCTGAAGGCATGCACGGGCTGGACGCAGAACTAACTGCCTTCTTCATGCTTTACTGCCAGCTCCGAAGGCTTTTACCATTTCAGAGAGCGTTAGAAACGTGTTAAACAAACTGGAGCAGCAGCAAGGGGGAACCGGGGTGTGAAGGAAACCGAACGGCACGCTCTTACCTCGCTGCAGGCAGCGGCTCAGCTGCTCTTTCTGGCCAGTGCTCTGGGAATATGCCACCTCTGAAAAACAGCCAGTGTTAGGCCAGGTAGTCTCGCAGTGACTCTGGGGGACAGTGTCGCTTAGATTTTGGGCAGCCAGATGCCCATGGTACTGGATTTCAATTATCAGAACTGACGGGTCTTTGAGGCCACCAGACTAGAGCTGGCAGCACAGGTTAAGTAATAGTGAGGAGCAGGATCCCTTCAAGCCATCGCTTCTCTACAAACAGAACCAGCAAACAGCCTCGGGGCTACCCCACTACACTTACAAGAGATTTAAATGCCAAAGAGCAGCTCACCACCGGTTCCAAGCCTAAAACCTGGCAGAGGAGCGCTGTCGGTCTGGCCCTGTAATGGAAAAACCATGCCGGTCTTTTGCCTAGGGAGAGAGGGGGAGAGCGGCTGGCCTAATCCCGGCAGCGCCCAGCACTGCCCTCCACGCAGGGGCCTTTCGACACCAGGAAACCTGCGGGCGGGCAGAGCGTGGAAGGACAACGGCCCCTGGGCCGACTAAAATGGCTGCTCGGGGAGCGCTTCCTTCCTCAGACCGCCTCAGAACGCTCAGTGCAGGCTTTTCACACACAGTTTTGCACCAGGCCGAATCCAAACGCCCCCGGACGCTCGCCCCGCGCCCAGCCGCGCCGGTGACCCCCGCCGGGG